TCACGATTCCCGCTCCCAGTAATAATGTCTTTAAAGCAACGAGTGGAAGCGCTCGGAGGTGCCTACATGGCGCATCAAATGAATAAAATATTCACGTTGTTGATCATGTGATACTACCAATACAGAAAGATACTCGTCGTAATGACCAGGACACTTAAGCCATTGTTAAATATATTACAGTAAGTTATGGTAGCATTTTGATTTATTCTATAAAACATTTGGTTAACCATAAGCTTGGTTATTAATTATTATTACACGGGGTCAACATAAGGAGATAGTTTGGTTTCCGTTTCGCACGTGCCCTTAGACGGAAACCAAACGAGCTGTATATCCTTCTTCTGTGCTCGTCAGTAAGGGAAAGAAGGAACAATGAGTTTATATGGTAATAATTATTAGATGATGATATATGACAATTGATGACTTTGTATGACTCTGTACTAGATCTATGTTTATAACTAGTGGTTATTATTATGTTAAAGTAAAGCCATCGAGCACTTGAAATAAAGTGCGATGCGATCATTCAGCTCCTCTACCAATGCTTGGACTGCTCCTACCATCTGGTATGCTATGTATGGAGTATTACTCCAAGTAGCATCATCGCGCGCTGCGCACTGACAAAAGAATCTCTGGCAGCGTTGGTTAGCAATGTACCACAGGCACCGGGAAACAGTTAGGTCGACAAGACAGGCCTGCCAGTCTGTATAAGAGGAGCATAGGTCCGCGAATCCAGCGGGGAGCGCGCAAAAAACACTTTTTCCTCCCCTTTCAAGGCGAAATAAGTTACACTTATTACTATTAGCTTTATTAACTTCTGATTAGACATTTGCACCATCGAATTCAACAGCACATTGTACACTATCATGATACCCCGCCACAGCCTTTGAGACTAAACGCCATCGAAAGATTCTGCCACGCGACCGCGATTCGGTGAATGGGTCGTTGATTCCTCCCACCCCACTGTAGACCACCCTGTTGAGCTCCGCTCGGGACCCGCGTAATAAGAGTGCCGGTTTTTAGGTAAGCCCGCTGACTCCCTCAGCCCATATTCCGTCTTCTTGCAAGGTACGCATCGCCCTTTTATTCCAAATAAGGCGCAGAGCTTATCCAACGCTCTTCGATTTCATCTGTCACCAATCCTGTAGCCACTATGATGTTTCCAAGATGGGTACACACGACGACATGAAGGCGAGTAATATTCTCTCGAGTTGCGTCGATGTTACCGTAAGACATTTAAGGTCCTTTGGGTCAACGAAGGAATATTGCGCCTTCCCCATTTCAGGAACTCTCCCCGCGTCCATACCATTAAACCCGCCGCCTTCGGACGAACTGCCTGCTCCATGGACTGATCCACACAAGAAGTTCCACAGCTATTTGAAGGTGACGTGAATCCCAAAAACCTCCGGCTGCGATTGGAGATGGCTTCATATTTTAGTGTAAATGAAGGTGATGGACAAGAGCCTGCTCCTATTTATCGAAGAACATCTCGGGTATTTTTCGCCCTGATATTCGTGTCTACGTCTTCCCACTCGACTGCATACTCTTTACTGACATGTGTCTCTGGCGAATTGTTTTCTTTTGCCCCCCCCCCTGTACCTAATCACTTGAAATCCTACCGCCCTAGCCTAAAACATGGAAGACGAGTGTAGTTGAAATCCTCACACCGTATTGAAAGAGTTGCCACCGCAAATCTTAGCCGGACATCACGCCCGGAAAATTCAAAATCCCCACTGCTCTCTTAGAACGGAGACCACATCAGTGTGGGAGGCAAAACGCTTATTTCCCCACCCATTCAATTACCGTGAACTGTTCCTTTTCATTTGTTAGGTTTTTCACAACAACACCTTTGAGAAATTATACTCTTTCACTTCACAAAGCGGGCGGAGCAAGACAAAACCATGGTTGCGCCTTAATTTTTTTCTAACTTCTAGTTACTTCTATTGAGGCCTGCATGGTGAAATGGATTAGTAGGATCTCTACAAAGTACGGACTATGGGTTCGGTCATTCCCCATTTCGTACATTTTCCCTTTTGAAGCCGTATCCTAATAGGAATCCAACACTTTTATAATTTTTTATAATTCAGATGTGTAAAACGAAACTATGAATGGTGAAGTGAACATTACCAGAAAAGACACTTAAGGAATGAAAAATACAACAAACTTGATATAGCGATAAAATTTGGAGTGATGTAGACCATGTGCCAAACAAAACAAATGGAGATTTCAAAGTTAATGAGAGTTATCCAGTGGTTCCGGCATGGAATGTGTGGCTCTCAGTTCCGCCGTGGCCATAGCCTTTTGGTCCAAATAAAGCTCCGTAGCATCGATTGCAGTACGGTTTGCCTTCATGCTGGAAAGTTGTCAGTAAGTAAGGTAAAAGTAATGATGGCTTGCAGTCTTGCTATCAGGGGGGCTGCCTTAGTCGTGATCAGGGGCGCTGATTATGGCGCAGCGCCAGCGCCTGCTTCCTCACCAGTTGCTGTTGCTCATTCGCCTTACACAATTGGCATGAGAACGGCCCGTTGCGCGCCGCGCTATAAGCGCTACCTGCACACTTCCAGCATCCGCACAGCCGAACATTGGTGCTACGTTCATTATGATGATTTAGCGAATCGCAGCATTGAAACAGACGTCCGTTAGGTCGCATTTTGCTGCAGGAAGCCCAGAAAAGGGAATAGTGGTGGAGATGAAAAAAGTCGAAGAATTGAGCTTCTGCTTTTGATTTATCCCATTCTGGGATGCGCTCAGCATTCTGCTCCTATTCTGAATTTGAATGGCTAAAACATTGCTTGCGGGGCCAGCCAACATGCGGATCAACGTTGCTGTTCTCCCAAACAAGTCTAATATCAGCCTGTGGACCCACAGGCAGATGACGGCAAGCTTAGCTAAGCACATGGCGAGTAGATGAGGAGGGAGGAACAGAGCAGTTTCTTGGTAGGTGAAGCCAGCCAGGCTCGGCAGTGAGTGGCGAGGACGGCCTAACGGTCGCAAGCTGAAGGAACTCGTAAAAGTTACCTCACGATTAGGTGACAGGAATGCCAATAGATCTATACACATCTAACACCGTTGTGACGGTTTGCTCTCATTCAGTGGTAGTTTTGTGGTCATGCTCGTCTCCCTGCACGTTTTCTCTTCTCTCATCCCGTTTGTCTCTGTTCTATTGCCTGCATCGTCTTGCTTCTTGGAGTACAACTTGAAGCCTTATTCAGGTAAACTCCTTCGGTTCAATTCTTTGCTTCACTGATAACTCAATGACATCTACGAAATCATAATTGGACCCTCTGAGACCACGCACTTTAATCGCGGAATAGGTTTCCAGGCTTTGGAAGAAAACATAAAAAATACGAAGCTGATGCTCGAAAAAAAACTGAGGAGAACCGAATGATGCTGCATCAGAGCACGTCCAGCTGCTGGGAAGATTTTTGCAAAATATGACCCCCCCTCTTTAGGAAAGTCCTCCTCTGGTACGGCTTCCCCTCCTCCATTCCATCCTGCCAAGAATTTTCCTGAATTTCCCCCAAATGGAAACTTTTTCACCGGATTCTTTCATGAATAGCGCATGCGAAAGGAGAAGAAACCTTTCACATGAGAGAAGTCAACAACGAGAATATTTTCCACAGGGACGATTACGATCCTCTCCCTCCAGCGAAGAAATAGGATCCCCTAGTTGGGGATACCCATTGCAGGACGAGCCATGTGTTGGATAGCAGTCTCGCTAAGACAGCTAGCAAAACAGCCTTGATTTTGTTTTTATGAGCATGCAGTATTTAAGAAGGTCTCTGAGACTATAAATGACCCTTGCCGCAGTACACGCTCACCTCAGAATGACCGCCAGATGTGAGTGTCTTTTTGCACGACTCGTTAAAACATCGAAGGCACGGGCGATGCCAGTCCTTTCCAAGCGACGACACTCGTTCACCTAAATATCAAACAGATATGTAAATATAAATTATAAAATATAACAATAATAGTGCAAAATTTATAGAAAGTTCTAGCAAAGTCGGCAGGAAGAAAAAACAATAAGCGGGTTTGGAAATTAAATTTTTCGTAAGAGTACTACTATAAGCAATGACTTTCAGATTAGATGGTGGTGATGTAGTGGCAAGTGACACGCTTGCTGCACACGCGGTCCAGGGATAAAATTTCGCACTGGCTCCCTGCTCAGGTTAACTAGGCCTTCTATAGCCCGGGGACGGCAAACTAGTCCCTTCGGGTCACTTTTAGTCTTGTCTCCATATTCTGGCGTTTTTCCAATAAGATGGGCATTAAGAGCTGGAAGCTGCGGAGAACGATACTGACTGTGAGTAAGGTGATGAGGATTCTTTGCCTAAGCATTAGGAAGGTCTGGGTATGGGAGAAAGTAATCTTTGCTGCAATCCTCTATTCTAAAATGTCGTGAACTCTCACTCAAAAAGTGTGAAATTAGTATAGATGCAGTATATGGTGGATAATGTATGTAATGTAGGTGTAAATTATGTTGCGACAAAAAGGGGCGTGGTTGTCTGGGGCGGGGCCTGTAATGGGGTTTACTGTGAGCAACAAACATGCAGTGGGCGCTACGCATAAAATTACTAAAGAGAAACCGCTTCGCGGAGAGAAAACCGTGACAGAAATCAGAATTTCAGTGAAATCATGAACAGAAGAGAATACCAGATTCAAAGATGGAGTTAAGAAGACTTGTAGCGTGTAATATCAAAATAACTCATATAGAATAAGGTTGTAAACTACCAACTACACACTAAAACTACTTTCCACCAAAAAAATTACTCGCTGCTGACAATAAAAATTTCAACTCACCGAAATAGACTGGTTTCTGACACGCAGGACAGTTTGGCATGTTGACGAAGGAAAGTTCCTGAGTGACTAAGCTGAAACAGATGGAGATAATTTCGTAGGCGGAACAGTTATCGTGTCATGAATGTGCGGCTGCGCGAGAAAATCACACAATGGCGCCACGAGGTGATTAGAGATCGGAACGAATTTCGAAAGTGCGACTTAATGCGTCAGCGATTTCGTAGTGGAGCATTTCGCCATAGCTAGGCAGTTCTTTGAGTGAAGGCGTACTACCCAGAGGACTGCCTAGCTGACACCAATTAGGCTTATTCGGCATGACCCTCTGGGCTCATCCGGCTGTAGGAGAAATTTTGCAGAATGCAACCTTCCCTCGCCCAATTCCTCAAAATTCACTCCACTGGTGCTGCCTCTTTCCCCATACCCCTTCCTACTTACCACCTCCCAAACACTCCGATCTCTGAATTGCCGACCATTTTCCCGGACATCTCCCAGAACGCTCCGGTTTCCTCCAAAGAAACTTGCCGTCGACCCGGGCGGTATCTAGCCAACGTACATCATGCCCTGACAACCCTATCTTACTTTGCCTCGGATGCTGCGGCTCAACGTAAAACTGCGACTTCACCCTCCCCTTTTCACTAATATCCCAAGAAAGATTTTGGCGGAGAAGCCAAAGGAGTTGGACTTGTTGTCTTGCCCACTCCCTCGTTTTTCACACCCTCTCA